CAGTTCAAGAAAAGAAAGGAAAAGGAAAAGGAAAGGAAAAGGAAAAGGAAAAGGAAAAGGAAAAGGAAAGGAAAAGAAAGAAAAGGGAAAAGAAAGAAAAGGAAAAGAAAGAAAAGGAAAAGAAAGAAAAGGGAAAAGAAAGAAAAGGAAAAGAAAGAAAAGGAAAAGAAAGAAAAGGAAAAGAAAGAAAAGGAAAAGAAAGAAAAGGAAAAGAAAGAAAAGGAAAAGAAAAGAAAAGGAAAAGGAAAAAGAAAAGGAAAAGGAAAGAAAAGGAAAAGGGAAAGAGGGAAAGGAAAGGAAAGGAAAGGAAAAGGAAAAGGAAAAGGGAAAAGGAAAAGGGAAAGAAAAGGAAAGAAAAGGAAAGGAAAAAGGAAAAGGGAAAGGAAAAAAGGAAAAGGAAAGGAAAAGAAAAGGAAAAGGGAAAGGAAAAGGAAAAGGGAAAAGAAAAGGGAAAGGAAAGAAAAAGAAAAGGAAAAGGGAAAGGAAAAGGGAAAGGAAAAAAAGAAAAGGAAAAGGAAAAGGAAAGAAAAGAAAAGGAAAGAAAAAGAAAAGAAAAGAAAAGGGGAAAAGAAAAGAAAAGGAAAGAAAAGAAAAGGAAAGAAAAGAAAAAGGAAAAAGAAAAAAGAAAAGAAAAAGAAAAGAAAAGGAAAGAAAAGAAAAGGAAAAGAAAAGAAAAGGAAAAAAAGAAAAGAAAAGGAAAGGAAAAAAGAAAAAAAGAAAAGAACAGGGAAAGGAAAAAGAAAAGGAAAGGAAAGAAAAAGAAAAGGAAAAGGGAAAGGAAAGAAAAGGAAAAGAGAAAGGGAAAGGAAAGAAAAAGAAAAGGAAAAGGGAAAGGGAAAGGAAAGAAAAAGAAAAGGAAAAGGGAAAGGAAAGAAAAAGAAAAGGGAAAGGAAAGAAAAAGAACAGGGAAAGGAAAGAAAAAGAAAAGGGGAAGGAAAGGAAAGAAAAAGAAAAGGGGAAGGAAAGGAAAGAAAAAGAAAAGGGGAAGGAAAAGAAAAGAAAAGGAAAAGGAAAAGGAAAAGGGAAAGAAAAGGAAAAGGAAAAGAAAAGGGAAAAGGAAAAGAAAAAGGAAAAGAAAAGAAAAGAGAAAGGAAAGGAAAAAAGAAAAGGGAAAAGGTAAAAGGAAAAGGAAAGAAAAGGGAAAAGGAAAAAAAGGAAAGGAAAAGAAAAAAGGAAAGGAAAAAGAAAAGGAAAGGAAAGGAAAAGGAAAGGAAACAAAAAGAAAAGGGAAAAAAAAGGAAAGAAAAAGAAAAGGAAAGGAAATAAAAGAAAAGGAAAAAGAAAAAAATAAAATAAAAGGAAAGGAAAGGAAAAAGGAAAAAAAAAATAAAAAGGAAAAAAAAGGAAAAAAAAAAAAAAAAAAGGAAAAAAGAAAAAATAAAAAAAAATGAAAGGGAAAAAAGGAAAAATAAAAGGGAAAAGGAAAAGGAAAGAAAAGAAAAGGGAAAATAAAAAAAGGATAAAGAAAAAAAAAATAAAAAAAAGAAAAGGAAAGAAAAAGGGTAAGGAAACGGAAAAAATAAAAAGGAAACGGAAAAAAAAAGGAAAGGAAAAGGGTAAGGAAAGGAAAAGGGTAAGGAAAGGAAAGAAAAATAAAATAAAAAAAGGAAAAGGAAAAAAAAAAGAAAGAAAGAAAAGGAAAAAATAAAATAAAAAATGAAAGATAAAAGAAAAATAAAAATAAAATGAAAGATAAAAAAAAAAAATAAAATGAAAAAATGAAAGATAAAAAAAAAAAAAATAAAATAAAAATGAAAGATAAAAAAAAAAAAAAAAAATAAAATGAAAGAAAAAAAAAAAAAAATAAAAGAAAAAAATGAAAGATAAAAAAAAAAAAATAAAATAAAAAATGAAAGATAAAAAGAAAAAATAAAATAAAAATGAAAGATAAAAGAAAAAAATAAAATAAAAAATGAAAGATAAAAAAAAAAAAAAAATAAAAATGAAAGATAAAAGAAAAAAAATAAAAAAAAAAAATGAAAGAAAAAAAAAAAAAGAAAAAAAAAAATAAAAAAAAATGAAAGAAAAAAAAATAAAAAAGAAAAATAAAATAAAATGAAAGATAAAAGAAAAATAAAAAAAAAAAAAATGAAAGATAAAAGAAAAAATAAAAGAAAAAAAAAAAAAAAAATGAAAGATAAAAAGAAAAATAAAATAAAATGAAAGATAAAAGAAAAAATAAAATAAAAATGAAAGATAAAAGAAAAAATAAAATAAAAATGAAAGATAAAAGAAAAAATAAAATAAAAATGAAAGATAAAAGAAAAAATAAAATAAAAATGAAAGATAAAAGAAAATAAAATAAAAATGAAAGATAAAAGAAAATAAAATAAAAATGAAAGATAAAAGAAAATAAAAAGAAAAGCAAAAACAGACAAAGAAAAAGAAAAAACAAAAAACAAAAAGAAAAACAAAGCGAAAACGAGAAAGTAAAAACTGGAAGAAAACAAAATTAAAATGGGGAAAAAAAAAAACAGGAAGAACACGAAAAAACACAAAACTAGAAAAAATAAAAATGAGAAAAAACAAAAAGAAAAATAGAAATAAAGAAAGAAAAAAAGAAATGTAACCAAAAGTCAAAGTTCACCTTTTTTATTTCTTCGAAAGGTTTTGGAGCTACTTCAAAATTTGGCCTGATAGATTTGAATTCTCTTTTTACAGTTCCATTGAAAGAGGATGAAGGTTGCCAGACTGGTGTTGCACTCTGGAATAGTGGGCCATTTTCTTTTTCTTTGACAGGTGGCTTTACCTCTGATTGAATTGGGATTGCTTCGATACCTGGTTGCCACACACCTGGACAAAAAAAAAAAAATATTACTAAGAATGGCTTTCAGTAAACTTGTCATTCTCTCATTTCAATATTATGAACTCTTCTGATTACATAGTGTTACAGGTACATACAAAAATAATACAAGGAGACAAATGACATTTTATACATGAATTTACATGTAGTAAGTCAAGGATGTCGTAAATGATCAGAATATCTATAAATATTAAAATATTTCAAGATAAAATGATTCAGATTTAAAAAGCTGTCTTTGCTTTTTCTTCTTGTTTCTATTGTCACAAGAATTATTCAGACAAGTAACTTCATCTTTGTTGTTTCTTTCTAGCCTTTCCCAAGTGTGGATTACATCTGATAATCTCTGAGACTCCTGTCTTTGCTACAGGCTTTTATTATTTGATCAATTCAGGAATCCCATCACCAAAGTTTAATCCAATGTTGAATTGAATCCAAACAATCATAAAATGACAAATAACTGAAGTTGAAACAAAGACCAGTTTTGAAATCCTGAGACTGTCTACTTTCAGATTAGATACAGTATATACTAGCAGCATGGCCCGGCATTGCCCTTGCTTGATTCAAAAATCGTACGACTCATACAGCAATCGCTATCACTTGACTTAAAATATTTTCACCCTTCCTTGCTTTTAAAGGAGTGCCCTTTGCTGTGCTGATGTTGCTAGATGCCTTACTTCTTGCCTATCTCACACTTCAAGTTTTTTCTAAGCTCTATACTAAACATTAAATCTGTTACGAAAAAAGAACTAAACCAAATGAACACAAAACGATCAGCTTTAAAAAAGTACTGGAAAAACTGAATGAAAAAAGAATGTTAACAACAAATACTTTTTCACACCCAACCCAGTTGTATGGAATCAGAATCAACATTGAGTTTAAGCAAGCGAATGAGCCAATTGGAGTAAAGTGACATGCAAATTTAAATTTTTCCCACTTGTGACGAATGCAGATATCGATTTTTTTTGCATGCTAGTTAACATTCGTGTCAGTCAGCTGTTGGCTCTCATGCTGGCCAATAGAATCTTCCTGCCTATTTGTGGCAGCCAACTATAGGCTCTTACTCTGAACAGTAGAAAATGGCCGCAAACTACATGAAAACTGCTGTAGAGGCATGAAAAAAATCAATTATTTCCACTATCGATGGGAGTTGGGAAATGCAATGTCGGTCTTGGCCTTCCCACTAACTTGGAGCATGTGCATGTAAATTTTGGTGCAAATCTGTTGAAAATTGCGGCCATGCATTCCTTACACACACATCCTGCCTTTTATAGATAGATAACTCAGGGAGTAAAATGTTCTGAAAATGCCAAATGCCTGCTTATGAGCCCACTGTGAAAAACAAGGATATGAATACTTTAGATAAAACTCTTAATTATTCTTTATATACTTTTCCAATCTCTATCTTGAAAATTGGAAATATCACCACAAACTGAAAGCAGCTAAACATTTTTTTTTTAATGGCAAAACTTCACATTATCAAATATAAAAATCCTCCCTGTATATATATATATATATATATATATATATATATATATATAAAATCAGTATCACCTCATGTAATGCAGTAAAAACACTAAAACACAAAGGGTTAAAAGATGTGGAAGAATTAGGAACAGAAACATTAATAATGAGCAGGAAGAGTCTAGAGTAATCAGGACAATCGACAGCATTTAAATTTTTGAAGATTAAAGTTGGCTGGAAAGAATGAAGCCAGAAGGGAGTTCCACAAGCGAGAAGTGCAAGAAAAGAAACTGTTAGCATAGAACTTACAGCTACATCTAGCCAAATCAATTATAAATTGATGAGATCTTGACGCCAGTCTAATACTGCGCCTGAATTACAAAAAAAAATCTAGGTACCATAGAGAAAAGCTCATCTGAACAATTACCATGAAAGTGTTTACAGAAAAGATACAGAGAGGCAACTTTAGAGTGGTGGGGAAAATGACTGAAGCTGGGTTGCCAGATCGAGACCAATAATGTTGTCGATTCTTTTTTGGAATTTTTGTTATATTCTTCTGTGTTAAATATTTTAGACATAAAACTCATATAATGTAAAAGAACGAAAATTGTTACATCTTATTTTCGTTTTGTTCCTAAGAACATTTTTTTAAAATCTTTGATTAAAACGTAAATCTCACTTACCCGAGATGTATCCTTTTGTAGATTTTACTCAAACCGATCTCCCCACTTTTAGT